GCAGGGATCTGGTCAGGAGACCTGGATCAGGGCCATAGGACGGGTCCAGGTGTGACAGGGCGCTGATGCCAGCAGCAGGCTGCAGGGAGGTTCTGGATTTATGTTTGTTTGTTTCCAGTCTGTCCGGTGCTGAGTGAAGATCTGGTCTTCAGTCTGTTCTTAACGACTGAGAGCATTTTGAGCTTCAGAGTTCAGTGATTCTCTACATCAGCGCTTCTCAAACCGTTTGAGCCACGACCCCCAAGATAACATCAGTTTGTGTTTGATGCCCAGTTAGAGCTCTGTTGTTCATGATTCATCTCTTTACATGAACACGTTGACTTTCTTTTCAATGAATTTAATTTATTTCAAACAAATGAAAGGAAAAAATAAATAAAAACAAGAGAGAATCATAATCACATGATAATGAACATAAGGAACAAGTGTACAGCCCTGATGGAGGCTTCATTTTGTTGTATTTCTACAATGATCTGGCGACCCCCTGAAACTATCCTGGGACCTCCATGGGGGGTCCAAGTCAGTCCAGTGTGGGTGTATTTGTTTTGTGATACTTGTGACCATTTCAGGCTGTTTTCTCTGATTTGACAGGTGGGAGTGTGTATCTGTGAATAACTTGAACACCTATTTATTTGAGCAGAGGCTCTTTTGGGGATCTTCTGGCTTGTGCAGGTTCAGATCCACAGCTGGGATGTTTGTCGTCTACGTTGCTGCTCACTGCTGTCTGTCGCCCTGCAGCCCGACGTCCATCCAGGGAACTGCTGGGCCTTCAGAGGCTCCGCCGGCTTCCTGGTGATCCGGCTCTCCATGAGCATCGTCCCCAGCGCCTTCAGCCTGGAGCACATCCCCCGAGCCCTGGCCCCCAACGGCATGCTGCTCAGCGCCCCCCAAGACTTCAGCGTCTACGTAAGACGAGGACGAGCAGCAACATGCCGCCGCCCACTTCCTGCTTGATCCTGAACGTCTGTTTTTCAGGGTTTGGAGGACGAGAGCGAGGAGACGGGGAAGCTGCTGGGATCGTACCGCTACGACGAGGACGGAGAAGCTCTGCAGACCTTCGGCGTCACCGTGAGTCGCACACCTCTGAACTCTGACTTCAGCTTCCTCATGAGGACCTGAGCTCAGCTTGGTTCAGGTTGCAGCGTCTGCAGCTCGAGCCTCGCTGTCCCCCTTCAGCCTGCTGCTCTTGTTTAGAACCAGACAGGAGATTCTGGTCCGACCAAGTCTGAAATACAGATTCTAGACCAGGGATCTCCAGCTCCGGTCCTCGTGAGCAACGGTCCTGCAGGTTTTAGACGTTTCCGTGCTGCCTGACTGACATGAATGGATCTCCAACAGCTCATTGTCAAGTTCTACACAAGTCTGGTACCGATCCATTAATCTGAGTACGGAAACGTCTCAGACCTGCAGGACAGTCGCTCATGAGGACCGGAGCTGGAGTTCTGGTCTAAAGTGATTCTTTTGTTTCTCTCTTTTTTTGGATTATTTTCCTTCAGTTTGGTGGAAAACAGTCGTCCAGCGTCTGTGCAGGTGTTTAGTTTAACAGGTTCTGTTCTGGGTTCTGTCTCTGTCAGGAGGAGAACCATGACGCCTTCCAGATCATCGAGGTTCGGGTTTTGTCTAACTGGGGTCACCAGGAATACACCTGCATGTACCGCTTCAGAGTCCACGGGACGCCCAGCGACGTCTGAGCGCGCTCACATCGCGTCCCACCGTTTCAGCTGGTGGCCGCTGACGTTGGTTCTGTTGATCGACGGTGACTCTGACTGGTTTCCCTCCAGCAGGATCTTGGTTTTCTCGTGGAAAACCGACGCGCTGATGGTTCCATGTTGGTTTTCTGTCCATAGTTCATATTTTTCTACCCGTGTTGTTTGTTTGAGGCGCTTGTTGTTGGTTTTATGTCCTTTATGTTGTGTTTTCTACAGCTGTGAGCAGAATCTGGTTTAGAACCCGCTCAGGCTCATACTCCAAGGTTCAGTCTGTTGTTGGTCCATTTCTACGCCTGATCTTTGGACTTCGTTAGCAAACGTTCTGAATCGACTTTAACGTGTTTACGCTGCACTGCTATGGCGTGGAGCTCAATCAGGAGGAAGAGTTTCAGCCTCAAACTGCCAAATGTTCCTCCAGAACCCGAGTGTGGCTCCAGGAACCGGACTGTCCTTCAGATCGGCTGCGTTCAAAAACACTGCAACGCTTCAAATTCCACTTTTTACTCAAAGCTCATTTCTTTTAATGCTCGAAATTATCAAGTGAAATAATCTCCACAGATCCTTTGTTTTGTTCAGCGGCTGACCGTCGGACGTCGGAGTGTCCTTGAACGCAGCACCGATCCTCTGAAATGCTGACGGCTGTAAAGTTCCATATTTAATTTGTCTTCATGCCAACGCACGACGTGTTTTTTCTACTTTTATTGACTGATCTGTGTTGGAACTTTTATTTTAAACATAATTTATAAAAAAAGTTTTGTATGTGATTTCAGGCTGGATGTATGATAATAAAGACGTGATATTTTAATACGTTCATGTTGTCGCTGTGGTCTTTTGTTTTTCACCGTCATCTCATCGACGTTTCAGGGATCAGCTGAGAAGATGGTCGACAGGGTGATCAGTGAGGA